CTATCCACCATCTCTCCAAATGGCATTTGTAAGCCCATTCCCGACATCACATTGCTGATATTACACTATGCGAGTGCAAATTTCTGGGCACTCTAGTGTTCAATCCTCTTCCACCTTCGGATCACGAAAGGCACGAAAGCCAATCTACATCCTCAGGTCTAAGAAGATTGAACAGGGGAAACTGTTGTACCCCAAAATTTTCCCTCCCATATTCTCCAAGATTTGTCAAGAATCATCTTCAAATGGTTCAAGATTTCTCAAGGATTGTACAGTCCAAATACCCCCTAAGCCAGTCAAAATTAGGGTTTTGGTTCTCTCAAGGAATTTGAGGTTTTTAATGGCTCAATCAAGTCCCATGGGCCTACATACATTGTCAAGCATCTACATGTCAAGTTTCAAGACTCACAGTGCCAATTTGCACAGTCAAAAGTCCCATTTGCTTCACAATCAACTACAGGGGTAAAATGGTCATTTTGTAGTCAAAAGTCAAAAATTTTGGTCAACATCTTATTTTGAGTCCACAATCATCATTTGATAAAATCTTGATCATGATTTCACAAGAATGGCTCAAAAATCATCAAGGATGCAAAACTTACTATTTTTGGACAACTGAAAAGTCAACTGTATCTTGACCAGGGCATAACTTTTTCATGGTTCATCAGAAAAATCCCATCCAATGCTCATTTTGAAGGGGATGACATTTCCTACAACTCTTATTCACATTCCAAGTCCAAGAAATGCTCTCACAAAAAGTTATCAATTTCTACATTATAGGTCAATTTCAAAAGTCAACAAAAGTGCACTTTAAGTCAAAGACCATAACTTGAGATTGGTAAATCCAAATGACATGGGACCAAAGGAATTGGTTAGAGGACTTCAAGACCTTTCCAAAATGTCCAAGAACATGTTCATAGGATCAAAATTGAGCAAGATATGCATTGGAGAAGTTGGGAAATATTTGTGAATTTGCAAAAGTCAACTTTGCTCAAAATACTTTGTTTTTGCTAATGGGCCTCAAATTTCTTCTTGAAACTTTATCCAAGGCCTATGCACGACCCATCAAGCTTAAATTGATTTATTTTCTTATTTTTATTAATTAATTGGATTTTTAATTGATTTTAATTCATTTAATTAATTTAAAATGTAGGAAAGTATCAAGACATGGTTTTTCAATCTTTTCATGAAGCAAATATGACCAATATGTGCTGGCAAATTCGTGTACACATCAAGGAGACAAGAATCTCCATGTTTGGCAAGTTTTCTCAATCAAAAAGATGCAAAAAGATATGATTGAAAATCAAATATTGAAACATCAATGCAATGGATTTCTTGGCCAAGATTTAACCTAATTCCATTCTACTATATATGCACAACCTAAACCTAATGCCAGGAACGTGAGAATTGCTGCAGAAAGCCATAGCCAATATAAAAAAAAATCAAGAAAACTTGAAAACTGTTTTACAGGTTCCAACGTGATTCAAAGCATTATAGTGATTCAAATACATTGCTGGGAGTGTGAGGAACGATTTGCAATCAAAACCACGTGCTAAAGCTCCATAAATCACCTTAAAAAGACTCACGGTTTGGCATTTTTGTTCATAATTATAATTCATATTTCATGCACGTTTAACATGATTTATTGACTATTTTTCATTGCTTGAACCTTTACAAAGCTTTTGGCATAGGTTAATTGAGTTATTATGCAGTGAATCGAAAGTTGCCATTGGAGAATTCTAGGGTTCTTGAGTTCTTGAATTAGGGCTTTCCCATACAGGAAAAATTGGGACCTCTAAGACCCATGGTTGAGACCGTCAGGATGAGACGAACGCATTGAGACCATCGCGCCATATTTATATGCAGCATAGAGCTATTCGCTATTATTGGCCATCATGTTTTGTGGGGGTTAAAACCCCCCGCTATTTAACTTTGTTTTACAGGGAATCTGGGGAAGATGAAGACGTGTACGTGTATGGTTGGAGCATTCAAATAACGCGCCTTTTATTTGTTTCCAGCATAATTGATCTTTTTTATATATTATTTTCAATTGTCACTATAATATCAAATGCAGGCAAGTGGTTCAGTGGTAGATGCGTTGGCTGGTTATCATTGGGACCTGGGTTCGATTCCCAGGTCCACCCAAATAATTGTTCCTATTTTTTCCAACATGTTCACATGCAGGGCTTCCAAGAGCATTCCATCATGCACCTCACGCTTCATCATGCCAAGTGGCTGGCAAAGCAGATCTGAAGGCCAAGGATGAAAGACCATGGTGCTACCTGGTCAAGGCACGCGCAGCTAATTCTGGGAAGTCAAACAGGCTTGATAGCTTATTGGGCCTGAGAATTGCTTGCAAACCTCCATGTTGGGCCCATCGCCCCCTGGTTTAATTATTTCTTTTCTTTTTTTATTTTGTTTTCTTTTAATTGTTTCATTACTAATTATTATTACTATTTATTTAACTAACAAATAATTATTTTTATAATTAATTCAGAAGACAATATTTTCTTATTATTATCATTATTTTCACTATTAATTATTATTTTGTAAATAAACACTAACATGAATTAATTTAGTTTAATTAGGTTTAATTTTAATTTTCTTTTACAATAAATAAAATAAATTAGACTTAGGGTTTTTACTAACTTTTGAACTTTTCTTTTTATTTTCATCAAAAACATAAAAAACATACAAAAATATTTTTTTTCTTTTAATTAATTAATTAATTAGTTATTAGGTTTAATTTTAATTAATTGCAAAAAGGACCAAATTCCATTCTTTTCTCAAAAATGGTCAAAACCCTAAGGACGTCCCGATTCAATTTCTTTTCGCGCATTATTCCTATTTTGATCATATTTATGTATCTGCTTTGAGGATGTAATAGATAATTAGGACTTTTATCGCTTTCTTTAATTTCTCGCATTTATTTTCAAGGGTTATGTTTTTGGCGATGTAAATACCCGACGCCTTGTAATAGCGTAGATTCAATTTTCCGCAATTTATTTTCCGCACAACCATTAACTGTTAACTATGCATGCAAGACTTGTCTGAAAAATAAAATCAACCCGTAGCTCACCATATAAATGTGCAAAGATAATCTTAACATGAAACTTGACACACATGCACATGCCACTCCTAGGGTACGCCTCACTTGGTTGCCTCGAGGTGGTCATCAAGTATAGGGTGTTTTAGAGGTCGCCCTCCTGTCTAAAGATCCAGTTGCCTCGGAACGGTTGCCTCGGATAAAAAGGATCTAGGACATTAGGGTTACCGCTAAGGCGTCCTACTATTGCTTTGGTGACCACACATGTCCCTAATAATCGAATTGACCCGAATAACTCCAACGACGGTGCTACCTACTTCTCAATAGTGGGATAGTACTGTCTAAAGGACTCTTACACAGCTTAATTCCTTAGAGTAGGTAGATTTCTCCTGGGTACTTGCTCTTTTTAAAACAAAAACAACTTTTCACACTTACACTTTCAAAAAGTTTTCAAACAAACACTTCATACACTCTTGAGGACTGATACAAGAGTTACCTAGAAGTTTTCAAAACGAACTTTTTCAAAAACCCACATACACAAGAAAAGCAAACATTTTTTGAAAACATAATGAGCAAGTACCTAAGAGCCCGTGGATAACCACAGATAGAAAGGGTGCTAACACCTTCCCTTTCTATAATCTACCTCCCGAACCGAGAAACATCTCGAAAAGGAATTTTGCTATGCTTTTGTCCTTTCCTTGTTGGAGAAAATAAAAGACGATGGCGACTCTTGCTTACCGCGACATTTCGCGAACCAGCATTCCAAAACAGTCAGTTCTATTTCCACCGATCACACTATCTAAGTTAGCATGCCAAAAAAAAACCTAACAAAACTATCTTATGGGGTACATACAATGAGAGAAAAGTCATGATCTCAATTTCTAAATTGAGTGACTCATCGATCAACAAGAAATAAAGGAAAGCGATAAAATCTTATAGGGAGCATGCACTGAGAGCGAAGTCGTGATCTCAATTTCTAAATTGAGTGACTCATCGATCAAAAAGAAAGGAAACAAACACAAGCACAACACATATAATAAATGAAGTGCGAAATGCCTGCTACATGTCTTTAAAAAACGACTTCAAGCGCACACTCTTTATTTCCTACTTCTCATGATATCTAGAAAGCGATAAATGAAAAAATATAACTTGGAAGCACTATAATACCAAGTGAACAATAATATCCAAAAAAAGCATAACCAAAGCTAGAAAACCCGGAATACTTCACACGAGCTGGCATCAACAAACAAACAGTCAAAGACTGAATATTCGGAATAGGTGTTGAAGCATCATCGATGCGAAAATAAATCACCATCGGAAAGTCAAGCATGTCCGCATGTCACACACTAAACCTGCATAAATCTCAAATCTTGACAAGCTGAAGTGAAACACAAATCTCGAATTACAAAGTAATCATTAAACAATAACAAAAAATTCTAATCAAAATTCTTGAAGAGAAGTCCTAAAACATTCTAGAATTCAATACTATTTTTTTGAAGTTTTTTTAAAAATCTTTTTATTATTAAAATCAACAAAAAAAAGAAATTAAAACTAAAAGATTAAAAGAGATATAAGAGAGTCATGGGAGTACAATCCAAAATTGGATGGTATGCTAGCAAAAACAATACTAGGCGCTGAGGCCCAACATTATCAACAAACCCCAGTCCACCTTAATTATTTTGTTTTTATTATTCATTATTTATAAAAAAAAACTAAAGCAAATAAAAAAAAATTGAAAGGGAAAATGTCGTATGGGTGTGTGAGCTAGGGTTGGGTTTGAGTGACTCTTCAAAAACAGAGAAATCCTCTTCCTCACACAAGCGCCGTTCATCCCTCTCCCTTTTATCGATTTGTAGTGTAAGGTCGTTGTTTGCCCTCTTCATCATAGTATCAACATGACTTCTCTCCGGCGCGACTTCATTCTCAACACCGATACATATCTGCTCACCTCCTTTAATCGTCAACCAATTTCCCCAGTGACTGTCACTCCGCCACCGGTCTGATCATCATCTCTGTAGAGATCTTCAATTCTCACACGAACAACATCTTGCATCTCAATTCGAAGCTTCGTATCAACCTTGTTGTGCTTCTGATTCAACTTCAAATTCGAGTGAAAGCAAAAGACACAGTGAAGAATTGCATAAAATGACAAAAGGAATAATAACATTTACCTATCGGTTGCTCTTTCGATCTTCAAATCAGGTACGCATTTTCCGTTTGTGTCTTGTATGAAACTCTTGACGTTGATGCTTGCGATTTCCTTGCGTTGATGATGTAGATGAAGGAGGATGTTGTCACCGTTATAAAGATGATTCTAGAGATACGAGATAGCTTGAAGAGATGCGTGAAGATTTGTGATGACGGAGGTGTTGGTGCTGTGGTAGATTGAGAGAATGAGGTTGTTGAATATTGCAGGTGAAGCAGAGAGAGCGAGAGTTTTCTGGTTGCAGAAGATTCACCAAGTTTGATACCAGGCTCAAGAATGGGGAGGGTTGAAGATGAAGATGAAGATTATTCCAAAAATCTCAGAGAGAGTCAAAAGTGAGTATCTTCTGAACTTTTTCATGTTTTTCTATTATGAATCCTCTCCTCCCAATTTCTCAGTTTGTTATACATACCTCCCAATTATTTTTTTATCTGATTCTGTTAAGTAATTCTGTTATGGTTAGATGGGTAATTGGTTAGGACATTATTGAAATTCTGTTAGAAACAATTAGGAGGTTAGAGGCATTTGTCAGTTAGTTAGTTGTGAGGGATTTTTTTATTCAGTTTTCTTTCTATTTTTTTATTCTTTTATGCTGCTTTTTTTTGCCGAACCCTGTCATATGACTCCCCCCTTTTTGTTATAAACTGTTTAGAAACTAGTTTTATTATCTCCTAATGCAAGGCTTTGGTTAACTATTTTTACTATGATTTTATGGGTTAATAAATTCCCTCTGGATTTATGATTTGCATGTTTTCAATTCTCTTCCATTTTCTACCTTTTGAGTTCAATAATGTTCTGATGCAATGTATGGTTTAAAGCTGAATGAACATGGTTTTGGTTAAAGCATGGCAAGATTGATTGGTTTTAGTTTGAGCCGACTTTATTGCAGGGGAGCTTTTGTGTCAAAATTCTGTATTAAACTGATGTGAGGTGCTGCATAATTCTTGCAGGTTTGGTTGAAGGTTAAACAGGGGCATGGTGGATCATAACATTTGGAATAGGGCAGGGCTTGGTGCATTCAAAGCGAGTTACCCTCTTTTTGATAGCAGTTTCTTCATAAATGAATCTTGAAACAAGAAGAAATCTGCATTTGGGTTTTATCTCAACAGATATGCAGGTTGCGTTGGAGGCGCGGATATTGAGACCTTGAACCATTGCTGCTCATATACTTAAGTAAATTGGTTCAACATGTTTGTATAAGATTTGTATCCATTTACAAGCTTTTGGAATTGTTTTGAAATGTGTAACATACTAGGTTTTAAGGTTTAATGTAATTGTGGATATTTTTATTGTACTCAAATTTACTGTATGCAATTAAATCTTACACTTGTTTGAATCATATTTGAATGAATCACAGTTCACCTAGATCCTTAGAATTTTCCTCCTTGAATTTATCTTGTAACTTGAATTTCATTTGAAAGTTGAACTTGACATGAATATCAAAGCCCCTTAATTGAATATTGTCTTGCAAATTGAACTAGAAACAGTGACCGATAATTCTTAATAACTTTGGATGCGACTTAAAATAATGTTTTGGAGTCTTTTGGAACAAACCAAAGTGGTATGCCTTGGGCTCTAGTTAATCCAAATACACGAACCTTCCAAATTTGCACTTTTGACCTTGAAATCGCACTTGTATTTGAATTTGAAAGTGAATGAACAAATAACCCCATATGAGAAATAATGAATGCCTTGAATTCAATCAATTTGCCAACAATCGAGAAATCGAAAAGATAACAAGACCTTGATCATAAAGAAGTCCTTAAACTCCTACCATGATATATATTCACTCTTTAATCAACAAAATGTCGTGATGAAAACGCAGAGCCACACTTAATCATTCGACAAGTCTCACCATAAGAAGAGAAACATGGTTCAATCTTCTGGACTTCTTGAAAAAAATTGAATCATAGAGCAAGTAATAAAAGAGAGGATCTACATGATTGATGAACTTGCAATAAAGAACATATGGTGATCCTTGTAGCCTTAAAGATAAAAACCTAGCATGATGAACTTCTGTTGAAGATCTAATACCAAGCTCCGAATAAGATAGGAGAAACCCTAAATGATATTGCTCTGAGTGTACATTAATGAAGAAGGCTTGAGATAGTGAGATGAACAAAACCCCGACTTCAGAACATTCTCAATGAAGACATGATGAAATCTTGAGCACATGGTAAACCCTAAATCACTCTTCTCGAAGAAATTATGATGAAGACAACCTTATATCTCGAGGAATCCTGCTAGCAAAGCTGTTTATGATGCTTGAGATCCAAAACCCCAATCTCATGCCAAAGCTCTTCGATCTCGTAACCATGGAATCAATGATATGCATGAGATGTATATGATATAAGGAGGGATTTTAGGGGCAAAAATTGGGGTATAACACCTTAATGCATACATCGACACAAAGAGGAAGCATCCATGGGAGACTTGAGTCTTAGGTTTTAAAAGTTCATATGGTTGTCTCTTTGAGACCCTTTTGTTTTCGTTGTAAGCCTAACAAGAAATTGTAATCTTGAACTTACTAATAAAAATCTTTGTTTTTGTTTCCTCTCGGTTAGCAAATTTAAATCTCCTAAGGTCTTTGAAAACATTGCATCCAAATATCATGCATCATTTCATAAACAGGTTTTCCAATATAGGTTTCCTCATCTATTTACTGTTTATTTCAGTATAGGAGGGCCCTCGAACAAACTATCAAGGATCTCCAAGCTCAACATGCACAATTTCAAGAGACTCTTATGAATCTGGCCAATGGGCAACATGATATAATGACGCTTCTCGCCAAGAATAAGAAGAATAGAAATCCAGTTGTCATCCTCAACATGGGGAGAAGATTCAAAGGTCTTTCTCAACCATTTCAAGTGGATAATGTTTTCTCTAAGGAAGACGAAAACCAAGAGAAAGATGGTAGAAGTGTCAGGGGTGAAGGTAGAAATAACCAGGGTTCTGAGAATATTCCTAAATATGTAGACTACTCCGACGAATAGTACCCTCCTATAGATGACAAATATAAGAAGTTAGAAGACCTTCTCAAAGCTATGGAAACCCAAAAAGTTCCTGGATTGGATTTTGGAGAGCTAGGTCTGATCCCGGGGGTGGTCATCCCTAAAAAATTCAAGGTCCTTATCTTTGATAAATATGATGAGGTTTCTTGTCCCAAACTTCATCAGAGGTCGTATGTTCTAAAAATCCAACCTCATACTGCTGACAGGAAATTATGGGTTTATTTCCTTCATGAAAGTTTTTATGGTACTCAACTTGAATGGTTCTACCAGCTGGAAGGAACCAACATTCACACGTGGGAAGACTTAGTTGCTGCTTTCTACAAGAAGTATCAATATAATGCTGACCTTGCACCGACTCATGTACAATTGCAAAACATGTCCATGGGCTCGAATGAAGGGTTCAAGGAGTATGCCTAGAAGTGAAGAGACTTAGGTGGAAGGGTCCAACCTCCCTTGTCTGACCGGTAATTAGTTGATATGTTCATGGGTACTCTGATAGGATAATTCTTTAATCATCTGATTGAGAGTTCTTCATCTGGCTTTACTGAGCTAATTCTGACAGGAGAAAGAGTTGAAATTGGTATTAAGAGTGGGAAGATTACAATGGTTGCAACTTCTAATGCTGTGAAGAAGCCGCTCGGTGGTAAAAAAGAAACCAATGCTGTCTATGGCCAGAAGGGCCATAGTAAAAATGACCGCCATCAGTCTGTGGGGGAGGTATTGATCTCTAATCCAGTGCCTATTCAACAATCACAATAGGGCAACCGTCAAAGGCCAAATTCTCCGTCAAGGCAGTTTACCAAGATTGGCATGCCTTTATCTCAAGCATTACAACATTTGTTAAAGGCTGAACTCATTTCCCTGCGGGATCCTCCTCAGAATCCCAACACATCCTCTCCAAAGTACAATCCAAGTGCAAGGTGCGTCTATCATTTGAACAGTCCTAGGCACGACACCAACATCTACTAGGCTCTGAAAAGTAAGATTCAGGATATGATCGATAATAAGGAAATTGAGTTTGATCCTCCAGAGACTCCGAATGTGATTACTGCACGTATGCCTAAGCATGACAAAGGCATAAGTTCTATTGAAGATGTTTTGTATGTTTCCTCCATAAGTGATGTGGTTACTCCTCTCTCAATAGTCAAGAAGAATTCGCTATAAGCTAGTTTATTTCTAGGTTGTGTTAAAAAATGTTATTGTTGTGCAGTTCAACCCAATGGATGCAGGTTGCTAAAGGAAGGCGTTCATCGTCTGATGGATGAACATGTAATTTTGATTGAGAAAGTTCCGTATGCTGAGAATTAATGCCGGGAGTTGTCTACCATATCTGGTACTCCTTTCAGGATCACTTCCAAGAGTCTTGTAAGGATTACTACCAATCTAAAAGCTGCTCCTTTAATCATTACAACACCTGGGCCTATCCCATATTCCTCAGAGAAGGTTATTCCATGGAATTATGGGTCTGACGTCTATTACCACAACATTAAACAAGAGTTGTCTGATGAAGAGGATGAAGAGGCTGATCCCAATATTGACAATATTGCAGGGACTAGCAAAATTACTAGAAACAAAAGGATTTTCTCCCAGGAAATCTCTCCACTTGTTCAATTCACAATTACCAAGACAATTGTCGAGGTTCAGGGTAAATAGCCAATGATAGAGCCTTCCCAGATAGAGGCGCCAAAAGAAGCTATAGTCAAGGAAACCTCTGGACAAGAGTTGGAAGAGGTTTTGTAAATCATCTGCAACAGTGACTATGAAATTGTTGAACAGCTGGAGCAGACCCTGTCCTAAATCTCCAGGCTATCTTTACTACTGTATTCTGAAGCCCATGTGCAGGCTTTAGTGAAATTCTTGAAGACTGATCATGTGCCACAAGAAATTCCGGCTGATCAATTTAGAAGTTACGTAGCGAGTTTAACAACTGATAATGGATTAGGCTTCTCC